GCGGGGCACAGTTAATTTGGTCATCTTGCATGATGTTTTGATAATGCTGCTGCTGCTGCTGCTGCTGCTGCTGCTGCTGCTGCAGCTGCCTCATCTTGTCGTGGCTCTTGCCGTTGTCGTCGTCGTCGCCTTAATACCCTTTGCTGCTGATGGTTTGTTATATGGGATATGCTTCCCTGAATGAGAGAAGGCAAGTAAGTCAACAAAATGCACCAAGAAAATCGATGAAAATATGAAATTATGTTTCCAATATTTTGGCAAACAATTGATCAACAACTGACTTCTCTGACTATTCAGCTAGCTTATGGAAATAAGATAAATCTTTCGGTTTATTTATTTTAGAATCGCCAAGAATATTTGGCATATCTAAAGAACTGTTAATTAAAATATTTCATTTTTATTTTCTGGCTCAAAATAAAGTTTTTGCTTAGTTGTTAAACGGTATTTTCGAGTTGAGCATTACAGCTAAAAAAATCGATGTTGTTTTTGTTGATGGCCCTTTTGAGAAGAGCAACAACAATAACAATAACAATAAGAATAACTACAATAATGCAGACGCTGCACGAAATGCTTGTCGCCCCGAATAATTACATAAATCAGTGAATTTTAAAGCGTTTCGACTTTCAAGTTTTCAATCTGTCAATGGCAAGCGTAGATCTCCAGCTCCATCTCCACATGTATACCCCTTATATATATATATATATATATCTACTACGGGTTTAATGAGTCGTTTGCGTGCGCAGGTTCTCGGCTTTTTAACGCTGATTGTTCCGGATTTGTTGGCTGTTGGTTTATATGTGTATTTGTGTGCTTTGTTGTCTTGGGGTCATAAGAAAGGGCACAGTATTAACACCTTAAGAGAGGCCGCTGTTCCCACACACCACACAACACATCTGACGAGCATCCCACACTAACATTTTATATTTTTATGTCCGGCCAATTTCACAGTAAAAATCGCACCTACATAAAAATTGCTGCCAATCTGTCAGCGTTGCCCCAAAACGAGATTTATTAGCCAAAAAAAAATGACTTAAGCCAAGTTGATTGATTTTGTTCGTTTTGCAAATTCTCCAATAAGTATTTAGATATATATATATTTTTTTTTTTTTTTTCAGCAACATGCCACATGCAACGCAGCACATGCCACATTTCACAACCGATGTAACTGTGTGATTATTGGCCAGGTCAGCCAGCCAATCGACCAGTTGCAAGACCTGACCTGATATGGCCACTGAACAGGGCCAAAAGGCAGTTGTGGTAAGTTTTTAATGCGCTTTAAAGCCACCAACAACATGCAAATTTGTAATTGCATTGCACTCAATTTTGATTACAGTCATTCAACCATATATTGTCCAACAGATATCCGACATACCTTCAACGGTAAATGAGCTTGGTAATATCCAAGCAATGACTGCCATCAGCTGACCCCAAATCGAACGAAAGCTTGAGATGGAGACAAGGGTTGGTCTTGTGGTTGGGCTGGTTAAGGCTTATTTAATCTCTCATTTAATTGCAGAACGAAGTTAAGGAAGGAGGCAAGCAATTTCGACGCCAAATCATGTTTTCAAATTTAAAATGGTCAAACGCATTTGCTTGTTAAAATCACTTCAGCTTTGGCAAAGTTATCTTAATATCGACAACCAATTCTGTTTCGACGTTAATTCATTATTTGTTTAGAAATTCTCCCTGTCCATCTTAAGCATTTCTCATAAGTTAAAACATCTTAAATTCAGAAACAAAGAATCATGCGACATTCTCAAATCTTCAGCCAGCTCGAAAATTAGTCAAATTAAAGCATACTTTTAGGCAGAGAAACAAATGCAATACTAAAATACTGTTTGACTAAATGAAAACTTGTATTGCATACTTTTAGGATGAACAAAAAATATATCGTGCATGGCAGTCAGACAAGTTGGTCTAGCATTTTTGATTTATCTCATTTCGAATCCTGGAAATATTTGAATGCCAATCAATAGCCCTGTTTCAAAATATGTATTCAAGCGAGTTTCTAAAAACATAACCGATATATGGCTGAAAATAAAGTGCCCTGAAATAGTTAATAAAAGACAGATTTATTTCATTTATTTACTTTTATTTGTTTCCATGAGTGCACAAATGTCGAAAGTACTTTTTATGATTTGACCTTCAGTTTAGAGAATTTTTGTTAATCGTAATTTCTGTTTTTTTTTTTTTTTTGGGGGGGGGGGGGTTTGTTATTCGATTTCAATTTGTATGTTTTTATTTTTTGCTCACAATCATATGTTTAATATTCCGTCATTAAATATGTTGTATATGTAAGATATCATTATTAATTAATTATTAGTTAAATACGCTTTAAAAATAAATGTATTTCTGTTTATGTATCACCAAAAAAACAACAACACACATGCGAATTAGTTATTGTTTTTTGTTTTATTTATTTTTTACTGCCAACAGCTTCAAGTTGATTTCCTGGGCATCGAAAAGGAGGCGAAAGCGCTAAAAACTTCGAATTAACTTGAAGGATATTTGTTCGTCATAAGCGCTACATAATTACTACTATAGATACAGGGTTAAAGACTTTCGATATAGTTTCGTATTTGAATGAATTGATCAACTAAACCCAACTATCATCTCTCGTTGTGTGTGTGTGTTAGTATGTGTGTGTGTGTGTGATATGAGGACTCCAAAGTGGTGTTCTTCAGTTATGTACAAAAGAGTGGATTGATTGGGATCGAGTCTGAAGCATTCTATTTACAGAAGCAATTCGTCAACTTTGCTGCAGTATCAACTATTGCATTGCGACTAACACACATTCTATAAATATATAATACATATACATATATATATATGTATGTATGTATATATCAGTTATATAATGGCATAACATATAGTGTATAAATATGTACTGTGGTACTGGGTATTACTGGGTACTTTATACAAATCTATTATTATTATTATTAATGTCCTTTTAACCAATTCTGCGTTTCTGTTGCTTTTGTAGGTAGTTCGATTGTTGAGGTTCTCTGTCTATGTCGGGTTTGTTATGGGTTCTTTTCTTTTAGCATTTTCATATTTATTGCCACACAATCCAAATACAAGCAATTTGAACAAATTAGCAATCGCCGATCATATTGTTTTTGAAAAGATTCCATTTGATTTGTTGTATTTAAATGCGCTTGGTGAACTTTTTGTTTGTGTGTTTTTCTTTTTCAATTCGATTCGATTTGTGATTTGCGTTAGTTTTTTCTCTGTCAATTATTGTGCTGCACTGCAAATGATTTTTTTGTTTAAATTTATTCAAAAATTGTCATTATGTAAATATTTCGTATTTTGGTGTGTACTTTAATATCATGTGATTAACAACACTCTCTTTATTTGCATATATATATACATATATATATCAATGTATATATATACATATATATATATATATATAAGTATGTGTATATATGTGTATTGTATACGGTGAAATTTAATTTTGCGCTTGGTGTTCGATTATGTAAGTTGTTTTAAATATTAATTCATTTATGTCGATTTTTTGTTTTTATTTTTTTTTTGTTTTTTTTTGCATTTTTGTTTTGTATTTACAGCTAAAAAAATGGTGCAATTTTGCAGTTTCCTAATATGCCACATACATTTTTGTTTTTTTTTTTTGTGTTTTTTGTTTGTAATCATTTCTAAGCTAAGCTGTAAAATTGCCTTAAATTTCTCCGATTGTTATTTTAACCATAAGTATTTAGTTAGATGTGTGTGTGTGTGTGTGTTAATGCGTGTGTGTGTTGGTGTGTGTGTGCTTCCTTTAATACTGTATCTCTATTCGCTTCAATTTGTCAACGTTTTGTGTTTGAACTGCTCTCTAAAAATGTTGTTTCTCTTGAAATGTACACTCGCGGCAAATAATTGATTTGATTTGAATTGAATTAAAATTGTAAATTCATTTACAAAACATTGCTGCCGTCGTCTGCCTTCTTGTTGAGTATGTTATAGGTAAGTTTTAGTTTTTTGTTTTTGTTTTTGTTTTTTAGTTTTTAGTTTTTTAGGTAATACATATAAATACAATCAATGCTTGCGTACAGCTGCAAACAGCTTACTATATATAGTATATATAGAATATATATATAAGTACAGATACAGATTAAAACTTAAATGAGCGCTTCGTGATTTCTAACAAATCAAGTACAAGTAAAGTATATCGATTTAGAGTTAAGATTTATAGTTACGCGTTACAGTTTACAGTTTATAAAGTAAATTACTATTTAAAATATCTATTAAAAAAATATAATATATATATATATATGTGTGTGTGTGTGTGTATGTATGTATATACGTGTAAATCGAAATAATATATATGTGTAAGCAAAAGCAAAAGCAGCTTTGTGCACAAAATACTGTTCAAATTGTTGCATTAACAGACACAAATTGTTTATTAGACTCTCTTCTCCTTTCTTCTCTTTTCTTCTGCTGTCCACAACTTAGTCGAGCTGCTCATTTCTTAGTTGTTGTCTAAATAGTTAGTTAGTTGCTGCTACTGCTTGCAGAAGAACCAAAATAATTATAAAAAATATTATAAAATAATGAAAACATTTATCTCTCTCTTGGCAAAGGACACACACTCATTTCAATTAGGTTTACAGTTGATCTCAAACCTAGGACGTTGAATACTCTCTTCTCTATATATATATATACATATATATATATGTATGTGCATTGGATGTGTGTGTGTGTGTGTTTGGTGTGTGTATAGATGTGTATAAATATAATAATGCGTAATAATACAAACTACAGCTACGTTCTCTTAATGCTTAGACTTCTTCTGCAACTGCCTCTGCACACTGCTCTCCCTCTTTAACATATATATGATACTATATACAATATTCTATAGCTATATAGCTGCTGCCTGCCTGTTCTCTACCAAAATTGTGCTGCTGCTGCTGCTGCTGTTGCGCTTGTCTGTGGCGGCATTGTCGTTGTTGTTGCTATTGCTGTTGTTGCTACTGTTGCTGGTGTTGTTGCTGCTGTTGTACTTCCAGTTGTTGCTGTGGTTTCTTCAGCTGCTGCTGCTGCTGCTGTACTTGGTTGGGTATATCAGGAGTGTTTGTCGGTGAGTTCGGTCCAACGGGACTCGAAGAACTTGCGCATGCCATGCCCCGCCTTGCCCACAGGTGAATCATCCTCGTTGAACATCTCGCAGTTGTCAAAGATTTGGCGCACATCCACGCAAAAGTCCTCGCGACTCTTGTAGCTGCAACAACAACAACAACAAACTAAAGATTCCATACGATAATATTTGAATATGATTCACTCACCTCAAATCGTGCAGTTTCTTTTTGATTGTGGACAGATCCATGGGCGTCTTAATGATCTTGCGATATGTGGGAAACTGTTTGGTGTTCACCGGCAACAGAAATGGCCACGAATCCTCATGAAGCTAACAAAAATAGAAACCAATTACATCAATTAAACTTTAGCAATTTGTGTATTTGTTTGGCAAGGTTTACCTCCATTTCGCCGAGCAGCGTCTTGCAGACGTTGAGCTCCTTGATCAGCTTCTTGGTGGCATGCTTCTCCTTCTTCTCCTGCTTCAGCTTCTCCTTGGCCTCCTGTATGGCATGTATATTGATGGGTGGCGGCGACATTTGCGTTACACCCGCTGGCGGCGTTGGTGTGCATGTCCTTGGCGATGGCATTGCCATCAGCTGTGCCTGCTGCTGCTGTTGCTGCTGTTGCGGTGGCGATTGACAGGCCACATTGAGCAGCGCTGTTGGCGACGCCTGCAACAGCACTGGCTGCATGGGCGCCGGCAACACCACTGGCAACGTGGCTGTTGGTGGCGGTGGTGCTGGCGGTGCTGTTGGCGTCGCCACTGGCGTCGGTGTTGCTGCCAGCGTTGGCGTCGGTGTCCTTGTCGGTGTCACTGCACGCGGCGACGACATTGCTGCCACAAATTGCATCGCCTGTGCTGGCTGAGTGGGCAACACACCAAAGTTGCCACTGCTGCTGCTACTGCTGGGCGTTGCATAGTTTGTGGCAAACGTGGCGCTGCCGCCATCCTCCAGTTGCACAGCGCCAACAACGTTGTTGCTGCTGCTGCCCAGATGCGAGGCAAAGCGGCTGCCATCGATGGAGTTGTTGTGATGCTGCTCATCGTACGTGGCAGAGGCAATCGAATGCGCCGGACTGCAAAATTAACAACATTTTCAATTACAAATGATGTAAATATTATTTGTATTAATACAATTCAAATTAAACTAAATACGAACTCTTATTTGTACTTCAAATTAAACTTGGAAAATGGATCTTATTAGCTATTTATGTTGATTAAATGTAAAGTTTTCTTTTTTGTTTAGTTTTTTTTCTGTTGCACTAAAACACATTTGAAAATCTGCTTTTCATTTTGAGTTTATTTTTAAGCAATACTTCAATGGCTATTTTTATCAGTATTCAGTTTATTTAATATTTATTAATGTAGTTATAAATACTATTATATATTTGGCTACAAATCAATCCAGGATATCTGAGTAGGAATTGAAGCTCACCTAAGCGGCGCTGGCAGAGATGTCATCGACTCATCGTGCGAGGAGTTCAGCGACTGCTGCGAGCTGTGCAACAATATTTGTTGCTGCTGCTGTTGCTGGTGTTGCTGCTGCTGCTGCTGTTGGTGTGGATCGATGGGGCACAATTGTTCGAGACTGCCACTAGCTGTGGCCATCATCAGTTGATGCTTATCGTTGCCTCTGCGCTTGGCAGCTGTGCTCGCATCGCGATCCCGTCGCGATTTGCTGCTGCTGCCACCACCACCGCCACCTGCACCGCCACCAGCTGCGCCACCACCACCACCACCGCCGCTGCTGCTGCTGGCCGCGCTGCGTTTCTTGGGTGGCGGGGCACGAGTGATGCAGCCGTGGCAATACCACTTGCCACGCGGCACCTTCAATAGCGGCGGAATGTAGCAGTCGGCGTGATAGGCACGCGGACACAGATCACAGTAGATCATCTTGCCAACGGGCGAGGGACGATGTCCGCCACAAACGATGCACTTGCGCTCATTGGTCGCCTTGTTGACGCACTCGTAGCAGTACCTGAAAGCAGCCACAAGAAGCCACAATTAGTTGACACATAAATATATACACAGAAGGAACCTAGAGCGGGGTGGGGCAGGGATCTGGGTCGAGGTGGGCGGGGGGCAGGGCACAGTGCATGGCAAGAAAAACAAGATACAAGAAAACGAAAACACGACAAAAAATATGTGTGCGAGAGAGAGAGAGATGATGAGAGTGGATGAGCAGAGATGTTGATAAAGGACATTGGACATGGAGTGGAGTGAAGTAATGGATTCAGTTAAAGATTAATATTGAATTGAACTCACCAATCGCCATCGGGTATGTTGTCCATTTTGGGCTTGAAGCAGTAGGTGTGATAGCCCTTGTCGCAGCCATCGCAGAGCAGTAGCTTGTCCTCGTTCTCGCCGGACGTGCAAAACTGGCAGTTCTGTAAGGAGTTTGAATATTTGCAAGAGTTTGTAGTAGTGCCGGAACGTCGTCCATGTCTTTTACGTTTGCCGTTCGCATTCGTTTTGCCGTCACTGTCCCCGTCCGTGTCCGAGTTGCAGTCCGAGTTCGTTGTCATGTTCGAGTTCGTGTTCGTATTGGAGTTGGAGTTGCAACCGTTTTGCGCCAATGCTTTCAAATTGATTTTAATGGTAACTGCAGCTTTTGCTGGTTGCGTCTCTTTCGTATTTTCCTTTTGCTTCTGCTTCGATTTGATTGGCGTTGTTTTACTGTTGGACTGCTGCTTCTTATCTTTCTCCTTTTTGGACGATTGCTTTTGTTTAGAGTCTTGTGGTGTTTGCTGTTGCTGCTGTTGCTTCTTCTTTGGTGTTGCTTGCTTTTTGGCATTGCTCTTCCTCTTGCTAGACTTGTTGTTGTTCTTTGCGGGCGTTGCATACTTTTGTAAGTAGTTCGAGTTGGAGTTCGAGTTGGAGTTCGAGTTGAAGTTTGGGTTGCGTTGCGTTCAAAGTCACAGTTTGGTGGAGATAGAAGTTGCGTTCGTTGTAGCGGGTAAAACGGGTAAACGGATAACGGTAGCGGGTAAGGCAACAAAAGCATTCGATTTGTGAAAACAAATGGCGTGTTTATGTTTGCATGTGTTTGTGTGTGTGTGTGTGTGCGTATGTTTATGTGTGTGATTGTGATTTTGGATGTTGTGTGTATGTATGCATGTGTGTTTGGGTGTGTATGTGTGTGAGTATGAAAGCGTTAATTTCGTATTTGATTTTTGTTGGAACAAGAGAAACACCATTGAACACCACAAACAACAAACAAGTCGAAACATTCAGGCGAAAAGTGTTAAGAAAGAAAAAAAGAACAAACAATAAAAACATCGAATTAATTTCATCAAGGCAGTCAATAAATTTCTCGTTTAAAAAGACGGTTGCAAATAGCAAATAGAATTTCAACTACAGCAAACACAACTTTCTAAAAAAAAGCATGCAACTAAAAAATAAATCAAAGCTCTAAAAATTATTCAAATTATATAAAAAAAAAACACTACTTGGGGGAAAAGTTGAATGATCTTTGAAAGTTATTCAACTGAAACTATTTATTTCAATAACAAATTGTTGATCTCACATATCTCAGTGAACAGTTATACAAATTGAGAAGATTTTCTCATTTGAATTGCAGAAAAATTGCAATGAATATTAAAAAAAAAAGACTGCAGATTTTATATGAATCCATATGAAATATGTTCCCATATATAACTATATATCTTCTGCACGACTAGCAGATATCATGAACTAAACTTTGAAATACATATTAGACTTGTTAATGACAGTTGGCAGTTTAATATGAAAATAAGTTTTCTTTCTGAAAATCTGTGCTTATTAAACTTGCACTATCTGAGATCGGCTTCTTATTGCAGACGGACAGCATATCTTTGTTGTTCCCAAAGTTCACTTTAGGGAAGGTTGACTGTATTTTCGCTTAAGCCTATTGCTTAAAACTACTCACAAACTGTTTGCTTTCTTCTTTCTAACAAGAAATTAGGCAGACGATTAAAGTGAATGATTAGTGCACCTGTATATGTATATATGCGTGTGTGTGTGTGTATCTGTGTGTGTGTACATGTGTGTGTTAAGTATTTGGATGAGTACAAGTGAGTTCATTAGCGTGTTGAATGAAAACCCAAAACAAAATGACAAATCAATGAAAATGGTGATTAAAAGGTTTCCCAAACGCAATTCCAATTTTTGTTCTATTTTTTCTTTTTTTTCTTGTGTTTAATTGTTGGGTAAATAGATATAGTAGTAACAGTGGCGGATATAGGTGGTATATAGGTATAGGTATAGGGTGCCAAAGCTAAGAGATAAGCAAAAGCAGAAAACGAAACAAAAAGCAAAAGAAAAGCTGAATAAAGAAAGAGTAGAAAGTAAACTTACCGCCTTCATGATGCTCTTGTCCCATGCCACGCAGGACTCGAGCACGTAGAGAGCCATTGCCAGTTGTGCCGTGGTGTGGGAGCGAGCGACTGCGTCTCGCCACTGGACGAGACCCTTGGGTATATTCTCCACCTTCTCATCCTTGTCGCTGTCGCCGCAGTTGCTCGACGGCGACGCAGCACCCGAACAGGCCTCAACACTGCCAGCCACGCCTCCTCCAACGCCCCATGCTGCTGCCGCTGCCGCCGCTGCTGCTGCTGTTTCGCAGGCTGCGCTGTTTGGCGCTGCTGCTGCCGCCGCCGCTGCTGCTGCTGCTGCTGCCAAAGCCATGGTGCGCTCATTGAAAACGGATGCGTTGAGGTTGCCACTGTTGTTGAGGTTGCCAGACTGCTGCTGTTGCTGCTGCTGCGTCTGATGTTGCTGTGCCATCAGCTGCTGCTGCTGTTGCTGCTGCTGCTGTTGCATTTGCAACAGATAGGCAGCGGCAGAGGCAGAGTTCTGCGTTTGCGTCGACGTCTGCTGATTCTGGGCAATGACGGCGAGATGAGCATCACCCGTCTGGGAGCCGAGTGGCGGCTTCAGATAGCGTCGCTCAATGTTCGCCTCCAGATCAATGATGCGTTCCCTTATCATGGGTATGATGCTGACAAAGTCGGCCTCCGACAGCTCTTCGAGTTCGGCGAGATTCACTTCGTTCTCGCTGCGCGTCGGCAGCTGCCAGTTCTTTAGCTGCATGGAGGCACTGGCTATCTTATCCTCCAGCGATTCCAATTGCTCCAACAGTGCCAGCTCCACACGCCTGGCCACATTCGGATTCCAATCGGCTGGTCTGTCGGGCAGCATATAGTCGGCCAGTTCGCATTGGTTGTCGCTGCTCGCCGCCTTCAGCTGATAGTTGACGCCCAGCGGCTGCTCGAGTCCCAGGAATCGCATCAGATTCTCCTGGAGTTCGCGTTCCCGCAAACCGGATGGATTTAGCGTCTTCAGCAGTTGTCGCAGCTTCTGTTCGTCGTTCAGTTGCCACCAGCCGTAGCGTTGCCGTCGCGGCACATACACACCATGCACCTTATCCGGAAATCCGGCCAGTTTTACCTGCTCCAACAGACGATGCTCATCCGGGGTCATCGAGAGTGGCAATGGGATGTCGATGGGTATGTAGGTCTGCACCGAACTCAGCGACATGTTGGCTATGTTGTGATAGTAGGCCTGGGACAGTGCCTCATCCAGACGCAGCTCAATCTTGGGCTTTATCTCCACAGTTGCTGCTGCTGCTGCCGTTGCTGCTGTTGCAACAACGCTGCTGTCACTCCCCCCGCCCGTGTCCGGTGCGGCATCAGTGCGCAAACGAAAAAACGCATCCGGTTCGGTTTTGGAAAGCTGCTTCGGCTGCGGCTGCTGCTGCTCCTCATCAGTTGGCTGGCAACGATGAGGAGAACCCAGACCGTTTTTTGACACTGTTGTTTCGTTGACTTTTGCTGCAGCTGCTTTGGCTGTTAACTTGGCCAACTCGTACTCATCGAGCTTGGCCTGCATCTGTTTCTCATCGAGGCCGGACAGCGTAAAGATGCACTCCTGACTGAACTTCGTGGGATCCACCTTGCACTCCTCCATGGGTATGCTGTAGTACTGCATGTTGTTGATCAGATCCCAGGGATGCCCCTGCAACTGCAGCTGGGCACTGCAGTGCTGATAGCTGGCGTAGCTGTGCTGCAGTTCCATTGCCACACAGCCACCCTCCTCCGGCGGCAGCTCACTGATCAGCGGCACCTCGCGCTTCACTATCGAGAACCATTTGGGTGTGGTATCTTCGCTGGGATGCGTTGCTGACACTATGATGCAGTCATCCTCCTTCTTCAGATCATCCAAACCCACTGGCTCAAGCTTATCACAGTTGCCGTTGCTGCCAATGTTGCTGTTGTTGTCGTTGTTATTGTTGTTGTTGCTCATGTTGTTGTTATTGTTGTTGTTGTTGCTGAGGGTGGGTATCATCAGGCCGGGTATGGTGGGTATCTTGATCTCGGCCTCGAAGTCCGTTTTCGTCGAGATGACGGTGGGCGGTGGTCCCATCAGTTCCATTTCCGATTTGACCTTAATCTCGGGCCTTGCCACAATTGGTGGCTCTGCGGGTGGCAACACGACCTCGTCATCATCATCATCATCGCCCAGATCGACAATTTCAGGCTCCACTTTGTTAATCTCCGTCACATCGTCATCATCATCGTCATCCTCATCCTCGACTGGATTGACCGCCTGATGATTCGTTGGCTCCTGCTTGGTGGCTTCCACCAACTCGGCATCATCACTTCCATTGGCTCTGCGGCGGCTGCTGCTCCTTCTGCGCCTGCTGTTGGATTCGCTGACTGTGGCTCTTCATCTGGAACATCCTTGTCGTCCATCTTCTGCTCATTGTTTAATTTCTCATGCTTCTCATCGTCCATGGACTCGAGTGCCTCTTGATAGCCACAGATGTCATTCTGTGCCGATTCCAGGGCCTCAGTAGCGTCGTCAGAACCGATCCTGTCCAAAGCAGGCGGCCCTCAAGTGATTGGTGCTCTTCTCCAGCGCCTCCTTACAGTTGAGCGAGGCGCGCACAATCTTGTCGAGCTTCTTTTGCAACTCGTCGGCATTCAGGCGATTATCCTCGTCCTCCTCGACGTTGGTGATCTCCGAGTCCAGATCGGAGAGATCATCCTCAATGATGCTCACATCGTGGCTCTGCGTGTGTCCATCCTCATTGATCGAGTTGCGTGCGCTGCTCTTCTTGGCCTGTGGCAGCAATGACGTCATACTTGCATCACCCCCCACTACTGTTGTTTTTGTTGGAGCAGGTGTTGTGATTGCTTCAACTACTGTTGCAGTTGCAGTTGCAGCTACTCCTGCAATACCTGCTCCATTCAGCACTGGACACTCGTCCATTTTGGTGGGGCTCACTTCGGAGTTTGGAGCAGCAGCTACAGATTCAGTGTTGCCACTGTTGCTGGTCAACAATGGAGCATCTGCATCCACTTCCATGGGCTGCGTTGCCTGCTCCGTGTCAGCAGTTGTGGTTGCTGCTGCTGCCCCCGTCAACTGCTGATCCTGCTTGCTGTGCTCTTCGAGAGATTTCTCCTCGCTACTGTTCAAATCAACGCTGCAGATGCCATCCGTTGGAGCAGCTGTGCCATCAGTTGTCGCCTCATTCGAGGCGGCATTTGCCAGTTGTTTGCAGGCCTCCGCTTCGGCTGCTTCGGCCTCGGCCAACTTGGCGAGACGTTCCTGTTCCCGTTCCGCGTCGAGCTTCTGTTGGGCGAACAGAGCTTGCATGGTGGCCTCCCGTTCCGCTTGGGCCTTCTCGTAGGCCTCGATGCGCGCCTTGCGCTGATGGAGCGCCTTGTATTTGCGCACCTTCATGTCCGTCATGTACTTCTCCTTGCGCATCTGGGCGCATGTCTCCAGACTGCCATCGATCTGTCGCAGCACCGCCTTGTTCATCAGCAGATCATTGCAGAGGTAGGCCAATATCTGTGCCTTCCTCGTCGGATTCCGTGCGACAAAGGGCAGATCCTTCAACGCATGTGATAACTTCCACGTATCGTTCTCGTGCAGCAGCTTGTAGTACTCGTGATTCTTGGCCGAATGCGTCGCCGTGTCGGCATCCACCTGATGATGGTCGGGCACACGACGCTCTCGCTCTCTGTCCACGGTGATGCCGTGCATCTGACGTATCTCGCCGGTGGCCGTGGCATACAGATAGATGCGCAGTATTTCCGATACATTCGAATTGGTGATGTCCGCATTGCGCAGAGATTGACCCAGCAGCGTGGTGTGGCGTCCCGGATTCGGTACACCCGGATCCTCGATGGCACAGACCAACAGGTGGGTCATCACCGACAACAGCTCCTCCTCGGCGTCCGCATTGCTGTCGCTGATGAGGGCGTCGTGCAGATTCTGCAGCGATGGCAGCGATTCCATATCAAAGCCGAGCGTCTCACCGAAATTGTGAAGGAACTCAAAGACCATCAGGAGATCGGCCATTGCCTGGCCGGGTAGACGATTGCCAGCAATGCGCTCCAGTTCCGGCACAGACAACTCCTGCGGCAACTCCGAATCCTCGTTCGGTTTGCGTATCAACTGGAGAATCTCTGCGTCTCGTTTACGCTCCGCCATGCGACGCTCTCGCAGTATCAGGCGATCCAATACCAACTGATGCTTCTTCTTCTCACGCTCCTCGAATTTGCGACGCAACTCGAGCATTCGAATGAGGTTCATGTGCTGGCGACGACGTTCCCGTTCCTTTTGACAGAGTTGTGATTAGTGATAGGCACAAGGATTACTTAAAGGAAGATGTGGCACTTACCATTTCAGCAGCCAGCAGCAGCTCCTTTTGCTTCTGGAGTTCCTGTTGAGCACGAAAGACAAGATTAGATACAATTAATCAGCGAGAAAAGAGAAAGACAGAGAGGAAGAGTACTTTGGGCGTGCTCTGGGATTATAGGGATTGGAAACTAACCGAAGCGCAAATAGTCAGAAAGTAAAAACTAATTCAATAGTTACGAAAAGTTTTCAATAAATACATATCTAGAATATGTGTAGAATATATATTGTTATATATATTATTTACAAACTATGGAGAGTCCCCAAAAAAATATTCATAATCAAAGTATTTACAAAAAAAAAGTTTCTTTTGTGAACCAAGTCGGGACTCTAACAAAATGCAACCCACAAACCAAAAAGAGGAACTAAAATAATAAAAAAATCAATCAATTTGGCAAATTTAAAATTAATATTTGGGTCTGTAACAAACCAAATAATCTTAACTATCTGTAAAAACATTTTGCTTGTTTTTAGGTTAAGATTGACTTATAATTCCGATTGTTTAGAAACAAATATCAAATGAAATTCATTTTCAAATATAATGGACTATTTAATTATTTAATAATTAGTTTTACAATCAATCAATTAGTCCATTATATCAATGAAAGCACATCATATGCTCTATCTAAGCTTTCTTAAAATGTTTCAAAAACCAACTGCAATCGGAACTCAAACTGTAATTATAAACCAAAGATAAGCAACAGAATTACATCTATTCGAGAATCTGTTTACATATATAGCAATAGTAAAATATCCAAGGACGAAACGTAATAAAATACTACGTGAGAAGAAAGTAGAAGCACAGCGAGAGAGTGGTTGGTTGGTTGGTTGATTGGGTGGGGGAGGGTTGAGAATATGAATCTTGTTGTACCTGTTCTTTAGCTAGAATTGCTTCCTGACGTCGCTTCTCTTTCTCCTATTTAAAAAATATTACAAAGAAAATGCCAATTTCAAAAGTGAGCGAAGACTAAGACGCAAAAGACAAAAAAGAGCCTTGAATTGAATTGCCAACTGACCTGCTGCTTCTTGAGCAACTCCTCCTGTTTGAGACGATCCAGCTCCTCCTGACGCTTCTTGCGCTCCTGCAAAAGGCATGTTATTTAATAATTAAATCATACTGAATTGTTTTGGCATTTAGCTCACCTCGATGGCCTGTTGATTTTTGAGTTCCTTCTCCTTGCGCTGCTGCTCCAGTTTGGCGTTCTTCTCCTGGCGCGCCTTCTCCTTGTTGCGTGCCAACTCCTCCTTCTGCTGTTTCTTGGCATCGCGCATCGCCTGCTGCTGCTTGGCAATCTCGATGCGCTGCTCCACGTTGAGCGTTTGGCGCGTGAACACCTTCAGATCCTCCAGCCGCTTGGCCACATCCTCGTCCGTCATCCGTATGTATTCGCCATCGTTGGCATAAGGCGGCGGCGCTGGCTGCAAAAATGAACCAACAATCGCCCTTGCCGAGAAACTGAAATTCTCACGCGTCAAACTCGACGGCTGCTGCTCCAACAACTGGGGAGAGAAGGGGCAGAGAGGCAAAGGGGTTTGTTTGTTTAATATATAAAAACTTTAGTTGTTTGTTTAAAGTTGTGCAAATTTGTTGAGTGTTGTTTTGGGAGAAGAAAACTCGTTGCATGTTAAAAAAAAAAACACCTATTGACTGATTAATAACAAATTAATTTGATATAAAATTTGAAATGCCATTAATATGTTTATAGCATAATCTGTATATATATCATTTTATGGATTATATATATAAATTTTAGGCAAACAAACTGAATGTCAACAAGAATTCTGATTAATTTTTGCAAGTTGTACTGTGTCTGAAACTGGATTTAATATTTGATCTGACCTTGAACAAGAAGATAAAAAGGCTCTTGAAATGCTGTACAAACAACTAGAGCACTTTTTGTTTGTCTGCTGCTTTATCATCTTTACATGGTTATTAACAACTAAATATAAACAAAGAAATCCTCAACAAAGTTAACAAAAATCACAAGATAAGAAACTAATTCAATAAAGGGTTAGTAAACATCTTCCCAGGAATCGTGTCGAGTTTCGAGTGTGTTGAGCGTGTTGAATGTCTCAAAGTGAGCAGATCTCAAAAAATTGCTTTAAATGATCCCTACAAACTCACAGCAAACACTTGGCCAATGGTCTTCAGGGGCAGGGTGCTGCCCGGCGCATAGTAGGTGACCTCGCCACGTATCTGGCCCTGTTTGGTTAAGCCCCTGATGACGGTGTCCCGCTTCCAGCCGAGCTCCAGTGGCACCCGCAACTCGGCCACATTCAAGATGTTGGCATCCTCGCTCTCCGACTCGGAGAGACCACTCTCAGCGGCCACACTCTCCGAATCCGTTGACGTTTCCATGTGGGCATTCGCCTCGCTGAGCGCCAGTCGTATCTTCTCCTGTAAGTGATAAAGTTGTTTTTGAAACATATGCAAAGTTGACAAAAAATCACTATATCCTCTTACGATATCGGCGCCCTGTTGCAGCAGCTGCTGTGTCGCCAGCATCGGCTTCAGGCCAACGGCTCGCGATTGGGCGAGCAGCGAGGCAACCGTATTCTTCTTGGGCTTGGAGACGCCACGACCCAAATTCCGTGGACGGCCCTCCTTGTACGCCGCCGATGAAGAACCCGAACCGGAACCCGAGCCCGAATTCGATGTGCCGCCCGAGCCGATGCCGGGCATGCCACCAACACCTAAACCGGGTGATGGTGAAGCACCGCCAGCACCGCTACCGCTGCCCGAAATGCTACCACCGGGCATGCCACCATTGCCACCCAAGGCGGCCGTAATGGAGCTCAAGCTCTGCAGACTATTGACGCCATTGCCACCGCTCTGCTGTGCCTGATAATCACCAGGCAGGCCCAGCGACGATGAGCCGGCAACGGAGGAGCCAGTTGCTCCAGTTGGATTGAGAGTGTTGCTATTGTTATTGCTGCTGCTGCTGGTGCTGCTCTTGTCCGAGGGTTTCATTGACAGATTGAGTGGCGCATCGAAATCATCGATGGTTATGGGATTCGAGGCCGAGCCAATGGCACCGCTGGCCGGCATCGCACTCGACTTCAAGCTGAGATTGACGCCGGAGGCAAGCGATGGATCTGTGGTGAGGTCATGCAACTCCTTGCCGCCGCAACCCTTGCTGGACAGATTGTAGGCGCCATTCGAGGTGATTGTCGGTGGCAACTTGATCACCTCCACCCGATCACTGCTGGACTGCTGGGTATTCTGACCACTGCTGTGACCAGCACCGCCACTGCTGTGACTGCTGCTGCCGCCGCTGTGACTCTGGCCAGCGCTGCTCGTTACCATCGATGCTGCCGACGTTGCGCAGGCGGTGGCCGCTGCCTGTGCCGCCTTCGACACCTGACTCAACTGATCCATGGTGGTCATGCCCAAACCCATGCCCGACATCCCGGCTGCTGCACCCAGCATGCCGTGCAGATGTTGTTGCTGTTGTGCGGCGGCTGCCATTGCGGCGTATTCCATTTCCAGACGGGCACGCTTCGCCGGACTGAGCCCTGAATATGAAAGCAGAGAAGAAATTGCATTTGTTGTTTGCATTTCTAAATCCTTCTGCTGTTGTTGTTGTGTAAGGTGTTGTTGTTGTTGTTGCTGTTGTTCTGCTTGGTGTTGTTGTTGTTGTTTCTGTGTGGCTTGTTGTTGTTGTTGTTCTGTTTCAGAAATGGTCTTCTTGCGACCACGAGAAGTACTACCAGGTATCTTGGGTCCCACGATGGAGGACGTATATTTAATGATCTCCGTATCCGGCGGCAGACGCACACCCAACAGCGATGGATGTTCACTGCTGTCAAGAAGCGATAAAAGAGATTAATCATTGCTATTACTTAATCCTTCATCCATTTCACTTACCTGCTCATCATGGCCGCATTGCTCATGTAATCCTTGCTACTATTTTTAGAGCCATTGCCACTGCCACCAGCCAGCGTTGTGATGGGCAATTGTTGCTGTTGCTGCTGCTGTTGCTGCTGTTGTTGCTGCTGCTGCTGCTGTTGGGAGGGATGTGCGGATGAGGTGACCGTGGCACTGGGTGAGACACCCGTACTCGCTGCAAATGCATTCATTGCCGCCTGCATGCTCTGCTGTGGCGTCATTCCCAGTGCACCGAACTGTGACAGCGAGTTGAGCGCATTCAGCGAGGGATTATTCTTGTCACGATCTCGATCCCGATCGCGATCCTTGCCCGAGCCGCTGCCCGAAATGCTGGCATGCGGGGACATCGACATTCCTGGATGGATGCCGGCCAACGAACTGGAACTGGAGCTGACATTGGTCGATGACTTGCTGCTGGACATGAGGCCAGCACCACTGTTGTTGCCACCACCGCTGCCACTGTTGCCCACTGTTGCACCCAAACTCATGGCCAAATTGGATAGACCGTGAGCGTGACCGCCGCCGCCGCCGCCAGCACCGCTCGACTTTTTGCTCGAGGAACTGTTGGAGCCACTGCCGCCGCCCAGACCCGACATGCCACCCACTCCTCCCGAGCCGGAGGCCGCTGCTGCAACGGCCTGCATGGCCAACAGCTCCTTGTGCAGCGTGACCGGATCGTAAGCGGATCCCGGATTGCTGCCAATACTGCTAATACTCCCCCCACCGCTGCTCGTCATCGTCGATGGTTTCCCATATGCACTCGCCGTGCTCTGCAAAGAACAAGTATTCAAATTGAGATGGGAATTGCAAATTGAGAGAATTGAATGCAGATGATGACAAACAAAGTTAGATAAATGCCCAAGGGAAGAGTGAATATACCTGGACAGTAAATTAGATGTGAAGAAAATAACTTGTGCATTTTTTGATTTTCATGTCCAAAACACAATATATTCATTTGAAAAATCAGAAGTTTCTGGCATAAAATTAAGAAAACATTAGTTTACCTATTGATTCTAATTTGCAACAGTTAAGATTTGAGCATATGGCAAATGGAAATTCAACTGAAGACACACAATGTGGAGAAATCACTCAAGACTCACCTTGTAGCCACCATGGCTGGCGCTGCTCGTTGAAATGGAGGCGCTGCTCACCGATTGGGACATGCTGCTGGTGCCGGGCAGTCCAAAGCCATGCATGCTGGCCAACGCTGCGGCGGGATTATTGGCAGCTGCTGCGGCTGCTGCTGCTGCCGCTGCATTCAGACTGTTGGCCAGATTCTGTTGCTGTTGTTGCTGCTGTTGCTGTTGCTGCTGTTGTTGCTGCTGCTGCTGGGCGGCCCTTTTCTCCTTGCGCGATTTGTTCGACTTGCTGCTGGAGCTGTTGCTGCTGCCGCCACCACCGCCACCTCCACTGCCAGCACCAACGCCAACCATGCCAGCAGCACCACCCGCACCGCCAGTGGAGCCAGTGCCGCCGGCGCCCATGGCCATGGCGGCGGGTCCAAAAGCAGCGGCCAGATCGGGATGGGGAAACGGTGACAGGCCCGATGCCTGCAGTCGACTAAAATAGTCCTGAGCGGCCAGTTGAGCCATGGACCACCAGCCTGCAAAAGCACAACGACAGATTAGCTTATCTTTATACAAAACATATAGAAATATTAAGTTTTGGGAGTGATACTAATCAGCTCCAAACTGTGGCTTAGCTAATTATTTTAACGCATTCAAGATTTGAAGGACTAACTCATATATCAAGTATTTCTAAACAAAAAGAAGAAAAGAAATATTTGCAAATATGATGAATATATGTAATAATTCATATTGATAATTAACTGATATTAAAGTCAAGGTTCAAAAGAGAAAAAAGAAACTAAAATAATAATACTAAGCAAAAGCTAATTGACCAAGAAGCAATTATCTAAACTATAACTTAAACAAGGTAATTAGTTATAAACGTATACATAATAATAACAATTGTTTTATAGTATTTAAATATTAAAATTCGCAAAGTTCAGGGCTAAAGCAGTTGCTTGTCAATATTTAATTGAAATTAAGCGTAAAAAATTATACAAAATGGATATACTAAAAATAAATGTCAAAGCGCATAAAAGGATAATAAATTATATAATCAATTATGTGCTTGTCCATTTATCGCAATGTTGGCCAAGAGAGCCGTTTAAAGCCAGGCCGACAAAGCGTAAAGAACAACAAGCGATTTTGTTGCTCTAGGAGAGATTTCTTCAAATGAATCGCGCTTGATTTTAGACGAGACATTTGCTGTTGAACTCCACGACACACACACAAATAATACACAATTTTTACTTATTCCAAATTGAAAACTCTTATTTCTCCTCTCTTTAAAAGGCCACACATTACACAACCAAACAGGATTCGAACCTGCTTCATTTCCTGTTGCACGCACTTTTTTTCTGTAAGAAACGGCGACATTTTAGCGCAGAGCTTCAAGAGTCGCGGTTGCTTTAGTAGCCTATTTCGATATATATATTTTTTTCTTTATTTTTTTCTGTTTTTGCTTAATTTTTGTGTTTATCGTTTAACGTATGTTAATCAGTGTTGACACTTTGGCTATTTAATAGCTAGTTGTTTCCTCAAGCTCAGAATAAGAAATGAGCTTTGAGCTTTTTTTTTATGTGCTAAGCAACAATTCGGACTTTAAATTTGGCCTTTATTTTGCCTCTTTTTACTTCTGGCAACGCTGATGCTAATTTAAAGAGAGCGAAAGAGGGCAGAAAGAGAGAGGATTTGTCGATGCCGACATTTTACTCACTTGCTGGATGCAAACCCGCTAAACTGGCGGCCTGTGAGGCCGCAACGGCCATTGTGTTCTGATGATGATGGGCGCCGGCCGCTGCTGCCGCTGCCGCTGCCATCGATGAGTAACGGTCATTGGCAGCGGCAGCTGCTGCGCCCGCAGCATTTGGCAGCAGACCCAAGCCGGCAGCGGCGGCCGCATTGAACTGTGAATTAAACAGCGGATTCGATGCAGCTGCTGCTGCAGCCCCAGTCGGATCACGGCCCCAATACGCTACGAAGAAGAAAAGAGATATATAAAACATTTGTATTATTTTATTCATTATTTTTACTTACCAAAAATAGAGGCCGCATCTAGCAGTCCGGTTGGATCGTGTTGTCCGCCGCCAGCACCACCGGCACCGCCGCCGCCACCACCCCCGCTCGAGCCACCGCCGCCCCCCTTGCCAACACCATGATTGTTTGAGTTTTTGCCATCGTTGCCGCTGCCATCGCCGGCATTTTTGTTCATGTTAAAGTACAAAGTTTGCGGTTGTTTCTTCTTCTTATAGTTGTATTTCTCTTATTGCTGTATTTGCTGTTATTGTCTATAATTAGATAAAGATAAAAAAAAAAATTTTAAATTTTTATCAACATATTGTTCAAATTGCAGTTATCAAATCGAGCACTCTCATTGTTTTACTTTCTTTCGTTCTCATCAATGCTGGCAACGCTGTGCGAATGTTGTGCGCAAAGAGGAAAGCGAAGAAACATGAAAAGCAAAACAAAACTACAAAAAAAAACTACTACTACTACACACGCTACACAACTTCCACACTAATAAAAAAAAACGGAAGCGGCCGCTTGTTGTTGTAATATTTATTGTGTGCGTGAGAGCAAAGCGAATGAGAGCAAAAACGAGAGAGCAGAGACGACGACGCTCGCTCGTTCACCACTACACCTGCATATATAAGGGGCAAACAGAAACAGGAACAGTAACAGAAACACAGCGAATTGACAGCGTCGCAGTAGAGGAAAAAAAAAGATGCGGCGAAAACAAATATTAACCATTATTTTTTTAAAGAAAACGCTTAAGTGATTGCAAACAAATTCAACGACTTTAAGTTATTACACTTTTCCACTCATTAACCACAAGTACAAATCAACCGTAGCAGCGAAACATATACGAACGAACAAACACGCACAGGCTCTTCTTTTGCCGCTGCGGCGAACGATGCATACACAAAGCGAAAAAGAAAATGCCGTTCGATTTGCAGCAGTAGCAGAAGCGTTAAAACTATGAGTGAATATTGTTTTTTTTTATCATAATGCATATGTTCGGTTTGGTTTCTCTTGATCAATTTCATTCATAAAATGTTTGCAGTCGAAGAGTCATTATTGCATTTGCATTTTACACATTATGCATACTATTAAAACGCCGAGCGATTCCGCTCTGCCGACGACGACGTCACCGCGCTGCCAACGCTGCTGACTAAGCGCCGACCGAGACTCAGACAGACTGTCGGCCTTCTTTTTTTTTTAGCATATAAACAAAAAAAAGCGACGGCATTGCTTACTTGAAAAACGGCACTTTGCATGCAGCAGGCTTATTTGCTGATACATTTCACATATTTTTTACCAATTTTTTTACATCAAAAATCGACTAACGAAATTATTTACGGCCAAGCGGCAGCGAAAAGCAAACCAAATATCTGTGGGATAACGCGACGACTGACTGAGACCGAGACCGAGACTACAGAGAGAGAGAGAGAGCGAGCGAGAAGTGAGAAAACACAGTAAATGCGCTCGGCTTGCTACAAGTGGAATTGGAACATGAGAGCCGCCTTTGCCAGCCCGCCGCACGCAGCACACAACACAGCAGAGTGTGTTTAGAAGGCAATGAATGGACCGAAGTCGACGTCGACGTTAACGTCGCAGTCGACGCACTTCCACAGTGGTTGATAATTAAACATTTTTTGTGTATTTTTTTTTTGTTTTGTTGGTTTGTGTTGCGAAAAAGAAAATGCATAATATTGCGAATTAATCATTATAATGAGCAAACGTTTAGCAGCAGCACACACAGTGCCAGCCAGCATAATAATAATAAAGGTGGCGCCCATTTTTGCTCTGCTCTCCTGCCTTTTAATAACAGTTATTGCGCTTTCTTGCTGTAGCTGTTGTCTGTTTGTCTGTCACGCATCAGATCAGTCGACAGATGTGCGTCTGCTTGTGTGTGTGTGTGTGAGGGAGAGGGGGTTGCTTATATTTGAAACGGTTACGGTTAATGTTGCTCGCATAGTGTGCATAAATATTATAATAGCAGCATTAGAACGGCAACAAGAACAAGTAAATCGCTGCTGCGCTGCTCTTGCTGTTGGTGTGTCTTTTTCTTATGCTGCTTCGCTGAAGGTTTTTATGACGACGTCAACCACACAGTTGGACCTCTGTTCGGGTCAAAGCGTCGTCAACGTAGAACGTCAACGCCAGCAGCAAAAGGCTGTATGCGTGTTGTGTGCCTGTGTGCGTGTGTGTGTCTGTTGGAGGGTGTGAGCTGAGCTGAGCGCGCGCCAACAACAACAATAGAAATAACAGCTAGCTGGCGTTGGCAATATGATTCGAGCATTTATCGTTGACGACAACGTTGGGACGTCAACCGCGACGTCGACGCGCTGCCAATGAAAAGGTGCGCAGAGCGTGCGTATGTGCATAGTGGGAGGCAGAGGAGAGGAGTGGGAGAGGGGGAACAAAACGACTGCTGCTGTTATTTTTTCTTTATATTTTTTTCTTTTTTTGCGCTAACTTGACGTGTAGATGTATATATGTATATGTATATATTTTTTATTTTTCGCCCATAGCGAATGACTGACGCCGACTGCTGCTGCTGCTGCTCACTCGATGCTGCCCAGCTCACACACCTCTTCCTCTTCTACAAAACTGAGTGACTGCCTTTGACCAACTTGCCCTCGTCCCCCTCGCACTCTCCCTCCCCTTCCTATCATTGCTTTCAATATTTGTAACTGACAGAGTATAACAAATGTGAAATTCTTTTTATTGTGTGCTCGCCGCCCATCGTCGCCGCTGGCGTCACTGCCCGTCAATACCCCCCGCTCTCCCCTACCATCCATCACTGAATTTTCTTGTTTGTTTTTTTTTTCGCTTTTTTTGTGCTCTTGATTATCTCTAAGCTCAATTGCCAGTTGGATTGTGAGCATGTTTTTTTTTCTGTCTGTATGTGTGTGTGTCTTTGTGTGTGTATTTTTTGTTGTGTATCTTTGGCAAATGCCGACGCTTTGTGTTATACACACAACATCAGCAACGACAACTGTGACAATAATCATTATTTGTTGGTGCGTTTTCTATGAGCGTCAAAAGCTAATCACAAAAGCTTTTAACTATTGCAATATTTGTTCTAATTAAAAATTATATTTTATTCGTTGATGTTGTTGTTGACAGTATGCAAATAACTCTAGATTTAATTATTTACCAGCTTTTTTTGCATGTGTCATAGAAAAGTGAACGGTAAACGATATCGAGTGCAATATATGCATTGAGCTTTGAGTGCATATATAACAGTAGTTATGTATGCATGTATGTGTGTGGGTTGCTTTGATTTATATTCGCTGCTCTCTCTATCTCCCTCTCTCTTCCCTTTGACGCGATTCAATTCCAGCCGTGGCGCTTTCTTGTTACATGTACACGCATCCATACACACATACATACAAACATACATAAATATTTATTTATGTTCACTTGTTTGCGGCATTCGTTGATCATCTTTGGACTCGACGTACACGCACACACACACACACATATATATATATATTTATATATATACATCTGTAATTTTGCTGGCATTCTTGGGGATTTAGATTTAGGTACACGTTGCTGTTCTTGCCTTACTCTCTGCCTCTGTCTCTGCCTGTTATGCGTCGCGTCGCTGCCATCGTCATTTGATTGTTGGCGGCTTTTTAACGCTCCGACAATTTCCAGTTCACTTTGACTTTGCCTTTTTTTTCTGTTGTATTTGTTGTTCTTCTCATTACTCAAGTTGACTCTTGCTGAGTGCGAGAAGAAAGGGAGGAGTGCTGGAATTGAAGGAAAGGAGTGGAATGGAGTGAATGAGAGCTGCTCATACATACGTATGTAACTCTTCTTCTTCTCTGCCTCTGCTTGCTTGCTTGGTCTTCTTCTGCTTCTTCTTCTTTCTTCGTGTTCGTGTTCGTTGGTGCGAGGTTATTGACTTAAGCAAACAACAGACAGAGACAGCGATAGCGCGAGCAAAGTTGCGTCGTCGACGTCGACGTCGCGATCTTCATTTCTTTGCGCGTCTTTGGTGGACTTCTTCTGTTTTATGCCCCATTTCTGCTGCAACGATGCCCGTCTGTGTTGTGCATCGTTCTTTTTGTGCCCAGACTGCAACTGCAACTGCTACTGCAACTGCGAAGGCGACTGTGCAGCAACAAGTACAGAACAGCAACAACAACATCAAAAAACTTTGCCCTCTTTCAATTTGATGTATGCATGTGCTCCTTATGCGTGCGTGTGTATGTGTATGTGTTTCTGTAATCTTACGTTCACACCCCCTCCGTCAATCTCACTCCCTCCCTCTCACTCTCTCTCTGTCTGTCTTTCTCTATTGAACTCTCTTCCTTCCTCCTATTTATGGATTGACTTTTTGACCATTTTGCCCATTAGCAGCAAGCAAAAGTCAAGCGTTAAATCAAAATATTAAGACAAAAGTCTGTTTATTAGTTTAATACGTCATTGCAGGTGTTTGAATATTATTTAGACATGTTTATTTTCAAAAGTAAACGTATTCAATTTATATTTGCCAAATATGTTGGCAAAGAAAATAAATGGCAATGGGAAGCGAGACAAAAGCAATTTCAATATGTATAGACAGAAAGAGAGAGAGAGAGGGAGAGTGTGTGTGTGAGAGTGAGAGAGAGAGAGAGAGGGAGACTGGTTGATTGTGCAGGCGTGACAATAATTATATTTTATTTCCAAAGAAGATTAACAGATAAACAATAAATAGCAGAGCACTTTGAGACAGATTAAGTGCCGTTAAATTAATTGGTTGATTACTAATATATCTGTATACATATTTATATTTGCTGCAACTATTTTATTTGTTAACTACTTAACACAAAATTGTTAACTTGTATCACACATTAACAGAGTTCTGACTTCTGGCAGAGGACATCACTGCCAAAGAACGATTATAATTAAATAATATTAATACAATATAAATTTGCTAATAAGATTAATAGGGAGGGTAGCTACAAATCTTAGAAATATATTTAAATAAGATTAATATAATTTAAATTTGGTAAACATTTTAGTTGTCTTAAGATATTATTCTGCAAATGTGCACAGATGATTTGAAGTGAATCGCTGTTAAAACGTTTAAGTAAACGTAAGGAAAAGAAACTGTAAATAATTATAATGAATGTGCCAAATATTTTATGTGTATGTGTTAAGTAGCAGGGATTTTAGAAATTTGTAGTTTTAAATGTGCCCTCTTCTTCTTGTTTTTTCTCTTTTGTTTTACTGTTTTACTCTATACGAAGTCAGCTAGCTAATTCAGTTGCGGTTCTCGATGCTGCACAAAGAGTGAGATAAAAAAAAGAGAGGGCGGCAAATGAAGGAGAAGAGGAAGACGATATGAGGAAGGAAGAGCATGAGAAGTGGAATTAAATGAAATGGATTTTAGTGCAGCTCAAAAGCTCGGAGATGTTGTTGCTCATGTTGTTGCTGCTGCTGCTGTTGTTGTTGTTGCTACTGCTGTTGTTGCTGACTCTTCGTCGTCCACTTGTTTTATTTCATTTTATTTTTTGTGTGTTGAACACATTACTATCAAGGATATCGGTAACCAGCAGCAGCTACGTGGTGGTGGCCCGTGCTGGTTGTGGGGGCAGCGCGGCTGTTTTGGGTCTGATGGCTGCGCGCGTTCAAGGAAATTGTACAAAAAAAAAAATAAGGAAAAGGAAAAAGAACACACACATACACAAATACATACATACACATAAAATGTAAACTCTGAACCGAAACGAGAGGCAGGGGGCCGGGTCAGGACAATGGGTTTGGGTCAGAGACAGAGTCGAAAGTCCCAGCCGAAGCCCTGGGCTGTCGCACGGTTTGGCGTGTGGCTTTGCCAAGGCGAGCAAGGAGCAAGGAGCCAGTACCCACACAGAGGAAGCGAAGCCCGCGCGCAAGGACACAACTTGCGTGGGCGGCAGAATACAACACAAGCGTGTGGGAATGGGGGGGGGGGGGGGGGTTGTGGAGGCGGGCTAGGAGTAGGAGTAGGAAGAGTTGCGAGTAAAACGAACCCAAACCGAACGAAAGGCAGCGCAGCGCAAAACTAAAATTGAAACTGGCAACGCCGAAAGGGGAAAAAGGCGAGCGAACACTGAGCACCAATGCAAACTGTGTATGTGTGTGTAAGTGTAAATGTGAATGTGACAGTGACAGCAGCGAACGACGCTGGCAGAGCGCGCTAGTAGTAATAACAATAACAACAACAAACAAATGAATTTATGCGGACAACAGCAGAAGGAGAAGCAGCAGCAGCTTGCAGTTGTAGTTGGATATTTATGTAACGGTAAAATAGTTGTAGTTGTAGTTGTTGTTGTTGTTGCTGCTGGCAGGAAGCGGAATGCAATGGGAGAGGGAGAGTTGGTGGTGGAGATGGAAGTGGAATGCATGGAAAATGGCAGGCTCAAAGCGAAACGGGCTGAACGGGGACGACCCATAAATTAGAGTGACAGAAAGAGAGACAGCAAAGAAAGAAAGAGAAAGAAATTGAGCGAGCGAGAGAGCACAAGGAGTACAAGGAACAGCAGAAACCGAAACGAGAGTAAGCAAAATGCAGCAGCAGCAGCAGCAGCAGTAGCCGCAGTAGCAGTGTGAGCAGCGCAGGCAGGAGCGGAATGCGGGTGTAAAACATTGACGTATTTGCCATTTGCAACAGGAGCAGAAGGCTCGCTGGTGTCTCCCTCTGTGTGTGTGTGTGTGTATCGCCTGCTGCTGCCCACTCATTCAAACTGGAAACTCACAAGCGAGCTTCGGGGCTATAATAACAAAAACAACAAGCAAGAGTAGAGACAACGCGTAGTGCAAGTAGCACAGCAGCAGCATCTGTTCCAGGCCTGACAGCAGTTGGAGCAAGCACACAAACACAATACACACACACACACACATATATATATACTGAGGAGAGACTGAGAGGGGGTTATTTGCAACATAAAGGTGAGGGTGCACAGTTCGCGTGGTTATGGGCTTATAAGGGATGGAGTGGGGTGTTGAATTGTACAGCATGTGTGCATATGTGAGTGAGTGTGTGTTGTTCGACTCTTTGTGGCTGCACTGAATGCACCCAAATGTTATTGCCACATACACCCCCCCCCCCCCCCTCTCCAAAAACCCCTCTCACTGTCATTGTTGTTAACATTTCAGCCAATGCAATATGCGAGTGGTAAACAAGGGTGGCTGGCAAGGGACACACTATTGGACATGTTGCATTATAAGTGTACATAAATACACACACACACAGATACACATTTACATATATATGCACAACATGTGTGGTAATCCACACACACACACACAGACACACACTTCGCATCGTATCTCTAATCGCACATAAACAAAAGTTGGTAGGCGGTCTAAGCCCAAGTATGATTCCAGGGCTGCTTGATTAGAGCATCATATTTGCCACTCAAATTCTAAGAGTTTCTGCAATGTGTCAAGAAGTAGCAGGCTCCTTAAATATTTACCACACAAACAGCTTATAAGCTATTATAAAAGCCATAAAATAGATTAAAGTTCATTCTTTAAGTAAACACACTTTTAATTTCATATAAATAAAGAAAAAACAACACAAGCGAGAATATTGTTGTCTGGCCGTAAAAGCAACTGCACAATAAACAATGGGACTACCTTTAAAACAATGCGAGTTAAAGGATTGAACAACTTTCTCTGGAGCGAGAGTTAACTGGAGCAAGCAGAAATGTTTCTTTTTAAATTTCGTAACTGTCGCTCAATAAATGTTGAGATCCATAAGTGTCCAGGAAATATGCATAAGTAGGAAAGTCACAAATCTACCCCATTTCTAGTCTTCAAGTTTGATTGATGTTTTAGTGAGCTCTTAAATTTTCTTGAACAGAACTAAGCTACCCTCTCTGCTAGGGTATACTGATGCATATTATACGGCAGAGCTAATGATAATGATATATATGAAATACATCACATTTCCCGAATCCACCTTCACCTCCTCCCACACTTAACCCAACCCTTTCCATTTGTCGACTATGCACGCAAAAAGCTTTCAAATGTTGCGATTTGATTTCATTAGACAACAAATACAATTAAAATGCTTGTTGCGCATGTAATCTAATATAGACAAATTTAAGTGTGTATACATTTGTCTGACTGTGACAGTGTTTGTGTGTGTGTGTGTGTGTGTCAGAGAGAGAGTACAAACAGACCGACAGACAATTTGATCAAAACGAACATTTAATTAATGCTCAAATCGGATTATCCAACAAAGGGATACACAGGATAAAGAGCTCGCAGGCGAAAGCTTTTCTTTAATTGGTACCAGCTGTCTGTCTGTTTGTCTGTCTGTCTGTCTGTCTGTCTTCCTCTGCCTGTGCCCCAAGAGAAAGAGTGGAAAAAGCCAAAAACTAACTTAATGGCTACAAATAGCAACAATTTAATGTACATTTTTATTTAAAACTGTGTTGCAAAAATTTAATGCTCTGTTTTTAACAAGCACCTTAATACTTTCAACAAAATGCGGCAGTTTTAATGTTGACAAAAAACAAGAACAACTTTAAAAATATATACATTTCTATATTATTTGACATATTTTGAAGACTCAAGTTTTTTTTTTTTAGATAATAATATTTTATGTTAATGTGCTACGGTTTCTTAACAAATGACTCAACTGGAGTATTCTAACTTTACTGTTTTTTTCCTTCTTTTTTTCTGAAAGACCAGAAAATCTAGAATATCCTGCCCTTTTTTATCACTTGCATTCCCAGAAATGTCTAACTTATTTTATTTCTGAAAGCCCAGAAATGTCCAACTTATTTTACTTCTGAAAGACCAGAAAATGTAGAATATACTGCGCTATTTTATCACTTGCATTCCTAGAAATGTCTAACTTATTTTATTTCTAAAGCCAAAATCCAAAAAAAAAAAAAAATACTTTTTCTGTGCTCGTTTATCATTTGTATTCGCAGGAATTTTATTTTTCAATGAATCAACTAAGAGAGATGAAAATATATATTATATATATATATATATATTAGATATATGTATATATGTAGATATATGTATATAATTCCAACATGTCTGTTGTCTTTCGCAGTGTTTAACTTACCACAACATGGATCGATTGTCTCTTTAATCTGCTCTCCAATTGGAATGCTGATTCTTCAAAGCGTTTCTTCTTCCATTTGTTGTTGTTGTTGCTGCTGTTGTTTATACGTAATTTTCATATTTTAACGATTAAATTTGTCGTTCTTTTTGTTATCTTTGTCGTTGCTGTTGTTGTTTTTGTTGTTTGTGTTGTTGTTGTTTTTCTGATTTTGTTTGTTTTACTGTGGTTCATTTGTGTGTTTGGTTTTTCCTTTTTTGTTAGTGCTTATTCATTAACTTTTGAGGGGGTAATACTTTTCAAATTTGAATAATGATTTCATTTCGAATTTATTGCGGCTCTTTCTTGGCCTGGTTAAGACACACACACACACATTCACACACTCAAAGGCACACACAGACACATTGGGGAGATCAACACAGTATTTCTTCGTTTTTTTTCTCTTTTTTTTGGAATTATATTAATTGTTATAAATGATTGTTATTGGAATTTTTTATGTGCGCGCTTTTCGTTGTTGCTTTTTATTTGAGAGGCTAAAATGAAGCAGAAATGAAAGAGAATGGGGAAACCCCCTGAGTAAATATCAAATAGATTAAGAAATAAATGCGATTTTAACAACTTGAATCTTAATTATACCCTTTATTCACATAAAAAGTAGGTATCTCGACATGAAATTCGCGTTTTTTAAATTTGGGCGATACATTCTAATAATCCCTTCCGAAGATTGCTAAATATAAAATATTCCTTGGCCATGCCCACTTCCGCCCATATTTCACACAGTTTTCAAGCTTGCCTCTACATATTTTAAAACTACATTTATTATTCAGTGGTTGAGGCAGAGTATTCCGCAGTCGTCTACGCTCGACTGCAACATTTCTCGTTTGTTTTAGTTTGCTCGCGACTCGCTAAAATTATAGCGACAGCAAAAACAACAGTGATATCTATTTACGATTGTGTAGAATAAACATTTGTCACTTAACATAAATATATATATATATTAATGTAAATGTTTCCCTTATTGTCTGGCAATTATTGCAAAGGCACGTTGAAACACACACACCCCGCCTACCCCCGCACTTTAATAGTGAATCAACAAATGCAAACTCATCGGGTGGAAACTGATATTGCCGCTGCTGCTGCTGGAATAATGACAAATGCGCGCTGCACTGGAAAGAAGGCATCGATCAAATGGCGAAATGCCAGTCTGTTGTCCACTTTTGGAATAAAACAGAGAGAGGGAGAGAGAGAGAGCTGGAAATTAGAGCAGAAAATGTGCAAAAACAATAGATTCAAATTCAATGCAGATGCAATGAGAGTGTGTATGGGTGTATTGTGTGTGTATGTATTTATTTATATATATATATATATATATGTGTGTGTGCACTGCGAGGGTGACTGACGTGAAGCGGCTTGGAAATATATGTACATAAATAAAAGGCCAGAAAGCGGCGGCAAACAAATGACTAAAATTAAAGAAAAGAAAACATTCATCATGAATGCCTCAAAAATGTTCGAGTTTAATTTGAAGGGATGATGACGACGATTATTGTGATGATGAGAATGATGATGATGATGATAATGCGAAGCGCTATGTGCAATGGGTGAGAGAGAGAAAAATAGTGTGAGAAAAAGGTAGAGTCCAAGGAAAAAAATATATTAAAAAAATTACGAGACGACCGCAACTGGAACTGCAACAACTACAGCATAGCAAACATGACGAATTCACATACATACACACACACAGGCAAACACATGAAACGACGGCAATGGCCACAATAAAAACCAACGAAATAAATTCAACAATATGAAAAAGAAACACGCTGCACACGGGAATACAAGGAGCACAAGAGAGAGAGAGAGAGAGAAGCCATGGGTGAATGGGCCTTGAGAGAGAGGGGTGAGAGGGGACGACAGGCCAAAGCAATCAGCGAGAAACGGGACGAAACCGCCACCAACGGCAATAGCAGCAGCAAAACTTGAACGACAAACCGACAGACAACAGCGACAAACGCAGACGGCAACTTTTTACATACAAACAACAACGGCAGACAGACAGATGGACAGATGGGCGGACAAAACAAATGGACGGCAGCAACAGCAGCAAACAGAAAATCCCAACTAAATATCGAAATCACAAATCCGCAACAAAAATTATTGTGTTTTAGAAACACAACACGAATGAGTGAATTCAACTAACTGAATTGAACTGAGTTGAGTTGCGTTGCGTTTTATAGGTATGAGTGGAATGGAATGAGTAGTTTAGTAGCGAAACTTAACTGGCCGACTGGTAAAATTCGGTCAGTTAGATGGAGATATGGAGAGAGAGAGAGAGTGGGTGGGCTGCTGCGACATTCACGCACCTTTCAATTCTTTCTTTTGCAAGTTTGCTTTGTACAGTGGAGCAAAGCATGCAGTGCGCGATCGTCTGTCGGTGTACGACATATCTAAGCCAACAACAACAACAAAAACAATGGCAGCAGCGTCTGCGGGTCGTGTCATGCTCACATTTAGTACACACACACAAATATACATACACACACACACACATGCATAAAGGCATACACAAACTGAACTGGGCAAGCAGCAGCTACAATAACAAAAGCAAGCAAGCAGCTAGCTAAGCAAAGCAAGCAAGCAAGCAACAAACAAGAAGAAGAAGCATAAGAACAACAACAACAATCACAAGCACGACAGCGAGACATAAAATAAATGAGCGACGCTGCCGCGCAAACATGTCTCCAATGCTGTAGTTTCTGTTGTTACTGATGTTGTTGTTGTTTCTGTTGTTCCTCTTGTTGTTGTTGGTTGGTCTGCCATTGCCATGCCATTCGTTCGGCCATTCGTTGTTGTTCATTGCGCCGCTGCTTCAATTTCGTTTTTTTTCTCAACGTTGTTTCCTTCGTCGTAATTATTGATACATGAAAAATACAACAAAAATTAAGAAACGCCGACGCCGCTGCGACGTCGCTAAAGTTGACGCAATAAATCTTATTGGAGTTGCAATCGCCATTTATGTACATATGTCTGTTTGAATGTGTGTGTGTTTGTGTAGCTAATTATTGCATTGGTCAGTAACTCGTTTAAGCACTTAATAAGTAGATGGCTGAAGAAGCATAACGTAAAACTTGATTAGCTCCGCTATTTTTCACACAGTTAAATTCGTTGCTGTTTAGTTTTTTTTTTGCTCTTCATCTGTCACATTTGATACATAGTTGTTGTTGTATATTATTCACCACTATTGGCATTTTACAGTTATTAATGGCAACTGTTAAGCACAAAAGCAAAGTGACGTCGACGTTGACGCTGACTGCGAATAGCGGCGACACTTTGCTTTGCTCGCGTTTTTATTGATTTGACAATTTTTATGTGTGTGCTGTGTGTGTGTATAACGAACGTGCAGCGGCGGCTTTAGATAACTGCAAATCGTACATATGCATATATATGTGTTATGTATATGTAACAATAGCAAATAGCGAACAGCATCTCGCAGTTTTAAATCCTTTTTGCTAGTGACACAAGGCACAGCAGTGCGAGAGTGAGCGAGAGGGCATAGAGTTCACCACACACACACGCACAACTGAACTGCCAAAAGAAAATACGGTGGCCAGGGTGCACACACACACACATGCACTGAGAGAGACGCAGACACACACACACACACATGCGAGACAAACAGACAGAATTTGCTGTTTCTGTGCTCTGGCTCTGCTCTGCTCCTCCTCTGCTTTGGGCTCTGCTCGCTTGGCTGAATTCTCGCGCTGGCTTCGCTTTGGCTTTGGGCCCAAAACGATTTGGTTTTTGGGCATTTGTGTATCTGTATTTGTCGCACTTCCTGCATACACATTGTACACATTGTTGTTGTTATTGTATTTTTATTTTCTTCAATTTCTTTGCAAATAATAAATATTGATAAATACACTTGAGATGGAAGAATATTTCTACATTTGTTGCTGTTGCTGCTGCTATTGCTTGCGCTCTGCTTGCTAACTTTTGCTCTTCTTCTTCACACACACAAACACTTAAACTTTCGCACATACATTTAATTTATTTGTGCGGCGCGCACAGTAAATTTTTTGTCGTAATTTTTCTTAGCTTTGCCCGCCGCCCGCTTTTAGCTTTTTGCTTTTTTTTCCTCTTTTTTTGGATTTTTGGTTTAGCTTTAGCTGCTGCTCTGTTGTTGTGGCTTGCTTGCTTTTGCTTGCGCGACCGACGAGTTACCGAACTAAACTAACGAAACGACAAACGACACCAGCCAACAATCCAAGCCGAAGCGAAGCCAAGTGCGAAGCAGCAGCAGCGACTGCGACGCCGGCAGCAGCGAGCGCGCTGATGGAGACAGCAACAACAATAACAACAACAACACATGCCATTGGCTTTGTGGTGGGGTGGGGTGTGTGTATATGTGAAGTGTGGTATAAAGATTGAGAAGGAGTAGAAGGAGGGAGGTGAATAAAATGACGATGACGACGGCGACGACGACTGCGACTGCGACGATTATATGAGAAAATTTATTCAACATTTAACGAACATGCTTGTTGTTGTTATTGCTGACTGCTGCTGCTGCTTTTTTGAAATTGTGGGCGCAGCAGCGTAGCGCAGCGCAGCTAAGCGACAGGCAGACAGACAAAGGTGTCAGCCAGACGCTGGCGGTTGTCAGGGGCCAAAGTGGAAAGAAAGAAAGCCCCGGCAAAAGCAAAAACAAGAAGCAGAAACAAGCAAACCAACATTCATTCCAGCAGCAGCAGCAGCAGAGCCATTTGTATTGTTTTCATTTCATTTGTTTTTTTTTTTTTTTTTAAATACATTTTTTGGTTGTGCTGCTGCTGCTGCTGTTGCGGTCGTCCATTGAAGTGCTGGTAATTAAAATTGCTACAATAACTAAATCAAAATGAGCGGAAAAGGGCGCACAAGAAGAGAGCAGCTGCGAGAGTTAATGTGTGTTTTGGAGAGTGTCTGCGTGTATATGAATGTGCATGTGAAAAAGGGACAAGTGATAACTTAAGCAAAACTGCAAAAAAAAAGAAGGAAAAAAAACATAAAACACCGGGCAAAGGGAAGCGCGAGTGGAAGTGAGAAGCAAGCAAATTTTGTAAAATGTTGCGGCTTCTACTTGCATAGGTGTGTGTGCCTGTGAGTGTGCGTGTGTATGTGTGCGTGTGCGTGAGCAGTGTAACGTAATA